GACGCCGCCGATAGTGGAACTAGGAAAACATTCGCAGTTGCAAATTACTCGTGATACGCCAGCATTAAGCGTTTACGCGTGTGTTTCGCGTAACGAGGAAATTTACGAGATCGCAAGTTCGATTTACGAACCAGCGAAACATCTGCGGTTGGAAGTCGCTGGTGCACCGAACTCGTCTCGAGCCTCGAGCAGAGGGAAGAAGCAGGAAACGAGCGGCGCGCGTGCCACGCGTACTCTGGCGCATCGTTGCACACAGGAAGCGGAACAAGAGGAGAAAAACGAGACCGAGACCGTGTCTTCTTTGGTCGAAGATTTCGCGATGGTGGCACTTCAAAGCGACGACGGCCGCGTAGAAACGGAGCTGGTCCGTTTCTTAGAACGCTTTACGAACCGTCGCGCCGCGAGAACTTCGGTCGCTTCATTTGCTGGATTTAGAATGAATTATCGGGGTATTAACGTTGCGCGGACAAGTAATGCTCCTCCACCGTACGATCTACGACGTACCATCCCATTCTCGGATCTTGCCGGTTTCCCTTCTTTGCACAGTGGCCTGGAAAATCGGATTTCGTAGCCAAAACCCTATTTTTTCCTCTTGAACGTTTCAAAGAAATTGTTCTTTTACGGATTAAAAATTTTATTTCTCCTTTGGAATAGTTCTGTGGTCAATAAACTGATGATAATCAAATCGACAGATTTTACGCTTAAAACGCCCTGCGCAATGAAATACGTTCTCGTATATATAAGTATAAGCTTTTACGATCTTTATTCCTCCTTTTCTGTTTGCAAAAAAATGATTTACGAGAAATTCTACGAAATCTCACTCACCGAATCGCTACTCCGTGTTCTTGTCGTGTTCGCGATACCTAAAACAAAGAAATGCGTATTCGACGACAGTGGACATGATGTACGCACGTGAAAATAAATCATCACGTAAATTCGGTTGTTAATTTCCCAGTTGATCGAAAGGAACGCTAGACAGCTTCGAAATGCGAAGGACCGATCGAAGAAACTTCCTAAAAATACGAGATGACCATCGACAGTTCCCGAAATTAACCATACATTGCAATAGACGATTTTCAATCGATAGAACACGATCGCGTTTCTTCGAGTAATTTCGTAATTAGATCACAACTTCTACGTCTCGACGGGAAGCTTGGTAACTCGTAAGCGTTTTGACAGGGCTTCGGGTCTTTTTCTTCGCAGCACAGCTTGTCAAAGCCAAAGCGATTAGCACGAAAAAGTGGAATGCGTTTGAAAGACCAAGTCGATTCGAGTTTCCAATCTAAACAGAGATCTAAATATAAACGAAACATCGGAAATGTTTCTCTTGCCTCTAACCGCTTTGCAAATAGAGTACAATTCTGAATTTTCTGCGCGACGGAACGTAGCGTAACCACGACATTCGCTTTGCTCTCGGAAATGTTTTTGTGACGACGCGTCACATTCGTTGTCTGCGGAAAATGATTACCAACGACCGCTGCCTCCATCTCTTGCCCCACTGCTATCGATCCTGCTTATTTATAGCGATACAGGAAAACGGGAATCCGGTCGTCGTACTTGAAGAAGTTTGCACACGACGAGTCTGGTTCGCGTGAAAATTGAGCTTGCCTCTTTCGATCTTTTGTCAAGTACGCGTTAGAAACTGCGTTGCGCCTATTAACCCCTTCAACCCTAGTGAAACGCGATACGCCCGAGTGAATGTTTCCGATTCCCTGTTGTTGACCTTTTAAGGCTTACCTTCTAAGGTTGGAAGATCAACGAAGCAAGAAACGCGTCTATTAACGAGAAGTACTTTTAGAAAGCGACGATTCGCTCGAAACCGAAACAAGCGAGAAAGTTTCGACTTTGCCAACCCCGTGGCTTCGGTTGCGGTCATCCCCGAGACTCCCCGAGGCTCTCCGAGGTCGTGTCCGATCGAATCGAGTAGCAAGTATCTACCACTCGGTCGATTGGCTCTTTGAATTAAAGCTAATTGTTGAAAACCACCTAAATGTAGAAACGTCATCGATAATCCAGTATCAGATTTAATGCTGTGTTTCGAATGATGTCACTACGACGAGATCGTGCGGCGAAAAGGCCAAGCCGCGACCGAGAAAGAACAGTGAGCTGTCGGACGTTGCCATTGAAGCAACGTTTGCAACGAACGTCGCGAAGCGACCCGATGCGCCACTGCAAAAGCTGCACGCGCAATTCCTCCGAATAATTCCTCTTCTGGATTTCCATAACAACGGCTATTGAAATTAACATTAACTGTGCATCCACTGAAAAATCTAAACGACGTTTCTCGTACTATGACCTCACCGTGCCGGAAATTCGGTTCTGGACATGTTGAAAGCGTCGTAAAGCAAAGAGTCAGCGGGATATTCTTGCGAGTGGTACTGGTGACTGACGTAGATGAAACGTGATTGTTATTGTGGGAAAATGCGGTGGATGCGAAATATGAAACCTCAGCTTCGACAAAGATACAAATCCTTAACGTGTGTACACTGGTTCATGAAAATATTTGAACATTTCCCATAGAAAATTTTCATGTTCCTATTGTACGTGTTATATAAAACAGAAAATACAAATCGCGTGCCAAGAATTACACACCGAGGAGATGGCAAGTATCGCCGCTTTCTTCCTCAACCTTCGTGTTTTGACTACGCTATTCCACGCCGCCAAAACAACCCACGATTTATTACCGATGTTGCATCGGAGAAACAACGAGGACAATGGGAAATTTCATCCACCGATGTTTATCGATACGGACGACATTCTCGTTTTCGATCTGCCTACTAAACGGAGGAACTTGCTTCTCTCGACGAACACAGCACCTTTTGAAAGTAAATCGAACAAGAATGCAATAAAATCCTAACGAACCGCGAAATTAGCAACGTAAACGTAAACTCGATACGACGTGTAACTAGTGTAGGTGATAATAAATGGAAATACCGAACATACACGTTACAAATTTACGTGTTATTTTATTAAAATTACTAAAAATTTACTGGTCACGTTACCATTTTGCACAAAAACATCAGAACAAAGACAATCGTGCAATTAATTTTTTCATAGCCTGCGACAAAAATTGTTTTTCTATTAATTACGAACCCTCGTCGTGTAAAAGTGGAGTTACTAGCTTAGTAACGAGGGCCAGCATTCATCATCTTCATCGCTACTCTGTTACGTTTGTGTCTGTTGCAGGCACCCTCGACGAGAGCGTTGAAAAACGTGTAGTTTCAAATGCAACCAGCGAATGGGAGTACAACGAGCACTCACGGCCATATTAACCTACCGAGACCGGGGTGAAATGTTCTCCGTACCTTCGAAACGAATCGTATCATCCGCCCTTCTTCGCAATCCTTGCTAGAAAGCCAACGTTCGAGAACAATCCAATCGTCGCGGAGCCTGACGACGAATGCGCGGCAGTTCGACCAGACAAAATCACTACAACCCTGTCCTCGCTTCCAAGAGGAGCAAAAGGGCAGAAATGGTAAAAAGCAGAGGCAACTAAGCAAAATAACGCGCGATTTAGCAACTTGTATGCCAAGAGGCTGGGTAGCTCTCTATCTAGGGGACGACTTTCCATAAATCATAGCGACTCGTGAAACTGCTACAAACCGCAAGCATACAAATGAGAATGCAAATTTTGGAGCGTTACAGCTCTTTCTCTCGGATCCGGTGTTAACTCGCGCGTTTCATAATTCTCTAGGGAGATGGCATACTCCTTAACTCGCCTTTCCCTCCTTTCCCTCCTTCCCCTTCATCAACGATCTTCTCTGTACGTCGCCTTCATTGTCTCTACGTGCTCCTGTTCGATATCGTAAACTTAACTTACGCCGCCAGCGAAGTTGCTTCGATAAACGGAAGAGTGTTCCTGTGCGCCTTCTCCTAGCTCGAATCCTTTAGCCGCCTTTCCCACGGTGGTTTCTCTTGCTAGTTCCCTTTACCATTGACGTTACACTTATCTCCATAGTTGGAGAAGGTTTATGTAGAACAACGCGACGAGGGAACGGCAAAGCCAATTTACCAACACGAACTCCGACACCGTTAGCGACTGTATTAGCGATCGTGTTATCGTCTCTATCGAATCAATCGTCCTACTTATCTCTCTCTCTCTCTCTCTCTCTTTTCTTATCGAATGGCTCTAAAGCAATTTGCAACTTACCATAGGTAAGGTTTCCTCTGCTTTGCCCGATGTTGTCGTCAAATCGTCGATGTTCTAGATCGACCACGAGCTTTGCTTTCGACATCCTCAATCGCGAACAACGAACGAACGTTTGTATAACTGCGATCCGAGAATTCGTTAAATTCGTCGTTCGGATCTGCTATTGTATTGAAAAAAGTTGAAGAAAAAAGGAACAGTGGCACGAAGCAACCTCGTAACCTCCGACACTACCTATCTATCTGTTTACACAAGAGCCTCAAGGACAGGATTTACGGAAAGTTTGTAGTATCTAGGTGAATTTGACCGATCGTAAAGTCAACTTCTACATCTTTACGCGAGACATAAAAGGAGATTAAACGTCGAACGATCCGTGTCGTTTTACAACGTCTCGTCGAAAACGTCACAACACAAACAGTTGTTTCTACCGTTATGTATGTACTTGTATATGTACGTACTATATCAAATAGGTATCTACCTATACCTATATAAAATACCTATATGAAATATCTATATAAAATACCCACATGAAGTAGGTATATAAAATAGGTAAATACCAAATAGATCGTAAAATTTGCAGGCTAGGAAAAGTACGAATGTTTCAATGGTCGAAGCGATTTTAGGGATTTCGAAGGAGATAAGGAAGCGGCTGGATAATTTTCCCAGAAAATGCAATTTATCGATTGGTTTTTCGAAGTATGAAACTTTATCGCACACAAATTGTAGAATAAACATTAGCGTTGCTACCTGTGTACTTCGTGCGAAATGGTGGCAGACGCATTACGGTAACCGGGACTCGCATAAATTTTCCCGGTAAGAAAGCAAAAGCAGCCTTTTCAGCAATAAAGCGTACGCCCTACAAATGAGAAGCAGAGATAAGGGCAGCCGCGGCTAATGCGAGACGTGCTCGATTATTCACAGACGCTTACCGATTCAACCTCGAGTCGACGTTGACGCCGTTCTTGTGCTTGACGAAAAGCCGTCGTTGTCTTTAAGCTCACACTCAAAGCACCTAATTTATAAGACAACGTCGTCTGGCCCGAGCATCTTGACTTCTTCGGTACGACTGCTATAAATCTTAGATAAACGGCCCTCGAAAACACGCCAACGAATAAAAAGCACTACTTTCGCACTCGAAACTCGCAGTCGAAACTATTTCACCTTCGACTCTCGGAAAATCCGCATAATTTGTCAACCTTCCAATGGAATCTCGAAATCCCCTGCTTCAGGGGATATTGGATGCGTTCGTAAAACGATTTATTGGCTCAAATGCGACTGTCGTAAAGCAAAGACACAGGCGATAACACGTACGCGGGCAACTTGCGGCCTGCACGATAGACAATGTCGCGGCGACGAATTTTATCTCTAATATGAACGATCCGATCCGATTCTGTTCGACTGCTCGGCTAAAAACATTTACCAGGGTTCGTGAATTGTATTTTTCCCATCAAGCCGTAACAGCATACATCCTATCGCCGTTGTTTTTACCGAGCGAGTGGCCAAGCTACTTAATCAAAGGTCCCTCTGAGTTTCGGGTCCGGAAATTTCGCAAGAATTCTGGAGGAAGATCGTGCAAATACTGTTCCTTTCTCCATTTTTATACATACGATAAAAGCCATCCTCGTCGTTTGCGAAAAAGTATTACGGATAGTCATTTGCAGCGAAGGTCCATTTCGGCCAAGCACAATCTCGCTCCTACGAAATATACGCTATCGTTTGCCCCTAGGAGAAACGAAAACCCGCAAGAGAACCGATATATGTAAAACCGTTTCTAAGAGATCAAGGGTTCCTAAACGATAACCCAATGACGTCCTCCGGTTTACAACGCATTGCGACGTTCTCGGAAATTTTACGCGAAGAAATCTGATTTCCTTTAACTTGTAAATCGTACGATATTCGTGTTAATATCCGCAGATGATCTGGATGATTGCGAATAATCGTTGCGAAAGAAATATACAAAATGATTGTGTAGATTTGACAGTTAAAAAGTTACAGATTCTACGATTACAAAAGTTTCTAATTAAGGATCGACTCGTTAATACTACTAATTAATTAACCGTATAGACCAAAGTATGCATAAAAAAGTGATTAGTGCCATGATTAAGCGTGCAAAAGATGGTCGAGCGATCGAGAAATGGAAGAACCCAGCTGCCTTGCGTTTTTATGCAAAACAACGGAATATCGAGAGTATAGTTAGCTCCGTCTCGACGGAATGCTTCTACGAGCAAACGGCTTTTGTCCAACCGGTGGAACTCGAAGCGAGAGATAGAGAAACACAGGGGGGAAAGGACTCTTTCCACATGACGGAACGTACCCAAGAGGAAACGCGTAAACCTAAGCCATTCCAAATAACGAAAAGAGCTGCCAGGAGTGCGTGCCAGTTCGTTCCTGACTAATTTCAACTCACCTCACGAGTTAGTATCCCTGGTGATTATGTCGCATCCAAAACTATTATTCGTCCCAAACTATCCGACCCTTTTGCTTTTCGAAGGTTTACGCGTGTTATCAGGCGTACAATATACGGAACTATGGTGGCCAAATTACAGATTATGAACCACATGCGACTCGTATATTCTTATATAGCACTTACACATCCACGGTGCTGACGATATAATTTGTCTGTAGGATTTAAAATATTTAGATAATAATTCTATAACGTTTATATTTGTAATAATTATATTTGGAAGAATGGAAATTGATTTATTATTACGTTTTAAGTCTAAGATTATAAATATTTTTGGACAATAGATGGCCCGATTATCGTAGAGACAGTTGCAATGATAGAAAAACGGCTTTAACGAAAATCTTGGAACTTTGAACATTCGAAATCATAAAAGTTTCGAAACTTTTAAACTGGAAATTCTTTCAATCGAAACTCGATAAGCTAAGCCTCGAATATCTCTGAGAGATAATCGTAAACTGTATTACCATTTCCCGGTTGACGAAAGCAACTCGGTGTTACGAAAAGCCTACAAACGTGATCGTGCATTCGATATCCTACTTTAACGACGTATCGCCACGCGACAACACGCGAACTCATAATTTCCCATTCTCATTCGAACAATAAAACCTGCGGCAATGTTCGTCTCTTCGTTGCGTCGTGTCCCACTGATCGAAAACGACGTAAGTGATACATCAGGCATAGCGATTAGTTTCTAATCGTAATGTTGTATACACGTATCGCACCCTTACTATAGACAATTTCAAAACCGCATCGTTCACTCCGTAGTACATATTTCCTAGGTTTCCGAGGTAACGCACTATTAATGAATCGTTCAAAACGAGGGGCATTGTGACGAGAATCGTGGAAGAACAGAAACAACATCGAGCTTCTTCCAAAGTTCTAAACGTGATTTCGAGTTTGTGAACACTCTACGTAGATTTGTCGCGTGTAAGCTAAACAACTTGAGAGAAGAAGGGTTGAGAAGAGAAGTTGGGCTATAGAGACATCCGTTTGCTTACCCTTTGACAACCCCCACGACGTTGACGATGACAAAACGATGAGGACGATGACGATGAGAACGATGACGATGAGGACGATGACGATGACGATGACGATGACGATGGCGATGACGATGACGAAGAGGATAACGACGATGAAGATGAGAACGGTGATCGCAGCGACAACGACGACGGCGACGACGACGGCAACGACGACGACGACGACGAC